ATGATAATACATAACAAGATGGGCCACTCAGCCAAAAAAGTGTCCGCAGGAAGTATGCTCTTTGCTTCAGATGGCGCTGCAGTCTGTTTTGAAGCTCTCTTTCGTTTTTCCAGAAGAAGAATAGGAATAGCACCTCCTTGCGTGCGCAGATCGACTGCTGTTCATCAGCAGTTCGGGTACGTTCAGTGCGGAGTTTTAGTTTTTTAAATATTTTAATGACCTCTCGCCTTTCATTCTAAAGTCAAATTAAACAAAGAAAACCATCACCCTTTCCTCCGGAAGAGGTTTTTTGTCAGCGTAACCATTTTAAAAAAGCGTTCTTCCGAAATTTTCCCCAAAACTTGCTAGTTTCACTTTGATTTTTAAAAACTCAAGTAGGGTAACTCTGTTCGCAAAGAGTGCGCTTTTGTGAAGAGGGCGCCACCAAATTTGGAGGACACTTTTTTAATTGGCTCAAAGAGAGAAGTGGCCCATCTTGTTATGTACTATCATTGGCCTAGGCTAAAGGGTAGGCTATAGATCGATGATATTTGATATTGTCAGGCGATACTTAAAATAGACGACGGGATTATTCAGTTGACCCATATTTCAACTTCCGGTTTTAGAATCAAAACAAGAAAATAATGAAAGCTTTTCGTTTGATAAAGCGTGAAACATAAAGAACTTTTACTAATTATGTGATTTTCACGGGTACACGAAGGACTGGTCCTCTTGTCGAAATACAACCATTCGTCATGTCTGATTCTTCACCCAGTATTTCACATAAGGACGATGCTCAAGAAAAGCAAAGGTATTGCTCTATTCTCAATGGCCTCGCTATTCAACAGACATGACATGTCATGATCATCAACAATGATGTCTGATTGATATAGATCTAGATCTAGAGTAGAGTTGTAAGTAAAAGTAGGCTAGAATCTAGATCTAGATCTAGATCTAGATGTAGTTTACTAGATCCGTGGTATCATGGAGTGTAATCAAGTACAAGTATTTTGGCTGATCATTGTCATGGACATGATGGTATCTTTTACTCCCTCCCCCCCCCCCTCTCACACTTAATGAGCAGCTAGATCTAGAATCTAGATACTTGACCACCAGTTGTCCGTTTTCTACTAAATAGATCAAGATCTACTATTATAACTATAGGCATAGGCCTAGGCGGCTCTATTGATGCACTGAACATTAACTACTGATTCCGTCCATCATTTTTTCAGGCTCTGGACATAATAGATAATTTCACGGTAAGGTGCGCCATCTTGCCCAGGGGTATTGAGGGTTACACCCGTGCATCTCTGTTTACATCCGGTTTTCGGCTAATTGGCCCTAGGGATAGTCGATTACTGAGATTTTGTGATCGATACTGAAACCGATACTCGAACGAGCGTATTAGATTTAGACCTAATACACAATAGGCCGGTACAGTAGGCCTCTGCTCTATGTAACTGAATTTGTTAAGAAACAAAAACATCTCCAATTAAGAAAGTTTGGTTCGTCTTCCTCGTAAATAGAAATAATATGAAATGCTAACAAGTTGTATTCACAGGTGTTTTCGAGTACAAGGGTATCGACTTTGCTCATAATGTACGATCTTTGACTGTGTGACTACTAAGTCAAGTGACTAGCCCTAGGCCTCATGTGTTTATGTTTTGTTAGCCTATCCAGTCTTCGTTCCGAGCTCTAGAGATCTAATTTTTGATAATTTAAATCTTGCTGACAGTTTTTGAATAAAGATCTAACATGGAAGATTCTGGTGATGATGATGGAACAAACCAGTTCACTCAAATGACAAAAACACAACTGGTGGATTATCTTGGAGCAAGAGGACTGAGCACCACAGGAACAAAACTTGCTCTCATAGGTCGGGCCTTTGTGGCGTGGGAAACTGGCGTGACGGTAAAGTCTTCAACAGAAACGTTTCAAAATCAGTTGAAAGAAGACTACAAGACAACCCTCAAGAAATTTAGTATTCCAGACCCAGTTTCATTGCCTCCTGATAGTTGGTCTGAAAAAGTTACGAAATGGCCACCGGTGGACATGGGAAAAATCTTCATGTACCTTCTTAGTACAAGTGAGTACAACAGAGACTATATAGGGAAGTACAAGACACAAAAGGCCTATTCCTATTTTGCCAGTAAGTTTGTTGGTACCATTCTGTGGGCACAAGTGCCAGATGACTGCGACAGATGTTTCCTGACATCGGAGGTAACACCGTCACAAAGCGTCAGAGGTGACACCCACAAACAGTGGATCTTGTTGCGAAACACAGGAGAAATCCTGACGTCGATGTGCAGCTGCACTGCTGGCATGTGCAGTACATGCAACCACGTTATTGCTGTGCTGTACAAAGTGGAGTTCGCTATCAGTAACCATCTGAACTCTGAATCCTGCACAGAGACAAGCTGTGCGTGGAATAAATGTACTAAGAAAACTGTTGAGCCGAAAAGAGTCGAGGAAATGGAACTCCGTTCTGACAGTGCCCCAAAGTACTCCTCTTCAGACACTGCATCGGAATCTCGGAAACGTAGACTGACGTTCGATCCACGTCGAGACGGTGAGAACAAAAAGAACCCTGAAGGAAGTTGTGAATTTTCTGGAGGGTCTATCGACGTTTGCACCCAAGTGTGCCTTATTTTCTGGAATGGCAGCTCAATTTCAGACAAAAAGTTTAGAGCCGATATCGATGCCTCCAACCATGCTCCAAGCAGCGGAACAATGCATCGCCAAGAACAGCGGTTTGGATGACAAGGGATTGTCAGAGAAATTTGGTGAGTCTCTTGTGTACACTAGAGACCAGTGTAAGTTGTTAGAAGAGACAACAAGACAACAGGGATCATCAACAACTTGGCACAATCACAGGAAGGGGAGGATTACTGGAAGCAACATTAAGCGGGTTGTGAGGAAAATTGAAGAGCTCAACAGAAAAGTTAATGCCGCAACCACCTCTCTGACACATCATCTTCTGTCAGGCGGGCCAGACTTGTCCCACATACCTGCCATTAAGTGGGGCAGAGACAGTGAAGAAAGTGGCCTTCAGGAATTTGAAGCTAGTATGCATTCTAATCATCTGAACGTCACCCTGAGAAGAGCTGGGCTCTACGTGAAGAGTACGCATCCGTATATTGGTGCCAGCCCTGATGCCGTCCTGCACTGTGACTGTCATGGTCTTAGTACTGTGGAATTGAAGTGTCCTTTCAAGTTGAAGGGAAAAAACATTGTAGACAACTATGCCCAGACGGATTTTTTATGCAAAGGTGAAAACGGGGATCTGGAACTGAAACGTGACCATGCGTATTACTACCAGGTTCAGACACAGCTTGCCGTCACTGGGTTTACAGCAGGATTCTTTTGTGTGTCTTCTTTGGATGGCAAGCCATTTATCATACAAGTGTTAAGGGATGACAAGCTGTGGGAAGACATTCAGCAAAAACTAGTTGTGTTTTTTAAAGGGTATATTAGCAAGCACCTACTAGGCCTGAAAGAATTTTTATTCTGTCCAACTTGTGACAACCTGATTTTGGAACCAAGAGAATGTCAACAGGAGGGCGACAACAGTGTGTGTTGTGATTCTTGTAACCTGTGGCACCACTGGACCTGTCAGGACTATTCAAAAGACAAAGACACGTTCCTCTGCTCATTCTGCACAGGGGACAACATGGAATAACATCATGCAGCATACAACATTGACTGTACATACCATCTCAACAGCGACAAAGTAAGTTTATTTTATCTTTCTCAGGCTCTGTCCACTGAATGCATCACAATCACAATTTTACTCAACAGTAACAACAAACAGCAAAAACAACATTCCTCGTGTAGCTTTGTGTAATTTTTAAAGTTATCTTTATTGCATTGTTAGTTTTTGTTGACGATGGTACTTTTCTATAATTTATTATTTGGTTTGGTTTGGGTGTAATATTACCGTACATTGCTTGATTTCTCTATGCTGTCAGAGGATCCAGTAGGTTGCAGAATGCACTGCAAGTGATTATAATGTCATCGCATAGGGGCAGCAATGTCATCTCCATTTCGCTCGACAAAATACGGTACCACTTCAGTCGGTTAATGGCTTGCTCGACGTAGATACGCACATTTGCAATTCTGCTTGTTGCCTGGACATCCTCTTTCCTCATCTGTAAAGCATTTCTGCAGCTCGGTGGGATAGTTAATGTGGTTTGGGCATTTGCAAGTAAGTCTCTTATCTTGAAACCACGATCAGCCATGATTTGATCATATGGTTCTATCAAGTTTAAGAATCCACTGTTTTCCACAATAAATTTATCTGATGCCCTTCCTCCATAAGCTTTCGATACATACGAAATTAATCCAGTAGGTGAGATGGCCACCAGAAATTTTACTGTGCAATGGTGTTTATACTCACTCCAGCACATTGCCTGAGTATCGAGGCTGGATGGAGTTTCTATGAAAACCTCTGTACAATCAATTATTGCTCGTGTTTTGGGGTAAAACTTCTTGAAACTTTCTGGCAGTGCCTGTTTAACATCAGCTCTTGTGGGCCACAATATAAGAAATTTAAATTCTCTTGACAATAATTTTATCCATGTTGTGAATATTTGACTAGCAAGGCCATTGGATACCTGAAACCTGAAGGCTAAATCCTGCAACAATAGGCCCATGCGCAATCTAAGCATCACAAGAAAGAATTCTTGTTCCAGAGTCAGCTTTTTGTTAGGCCCAGGCCTATTATACAGTCCAGGGCGATTGAAATAGTCACTGCTATGTGCCTGTTCTTCACTCGTTTGTTTTGCGCCTTTCCAATATAACATATGGGAGGCTTTCTTCTCCACATGACTGAAAACAAACTTAAACATTTGTGTGGAAACAAAACCAGTGAAGCAGCGTACATCGCTTTCTCTTGTTACCTGATTAAAAGCTAATGGAATAGGTGTTTGCTGGTCTTCACATTTATTGGCTTCCTCATCTTCAGGGTTTATTTTCCGTTTTTTGCTTGACGATGGGGTTTCATTTCTTGTGGGCGCTGTTCGTTTTTGCGGCGATCTGACATTGTAGTCACTTGGGGTGAGGAAAAGAATGGGAATAGGATTTGATGGTGTGGGACGCCCTTCTGTGAAGTGATTAGAGCACACTTTCATTGTAATTGTCATTTTGAAGTCTGCTCGTCCTTTCTGTATCTGCCTCTCCCATAATTTCCTTTTCTCCTCGTTTGAAACTCCAAACCATTGCATTTCAGTCACATGGGATCTCTTTTTAATCAATTGGGGTCTACTTCTTGTGTTACTGCATGAACCAACACAACAGTGGTCGTACTTCCCCATCTTGCTACTAGACTAATGTTTCTAGAATCTAGATCTAAATCTAGTTTAAAATCTAAAATTCAATGAAAGAAACATCTATAGAACTAAGAAAGATTAGTCCTACATGATGGTATATCGCTAGATCTAGATCTATTAAATTACCAGAAATGTAGATTCCACAAAACAATGATTTCCTCACTGTTAGTCTAAAAAAATAATAACGAATGCCAATTCCATTTCACAAAATTACACTTATATAAAAACACACAGTACAGTCACATGATTAGTAGATCTTGGCCTGCGTGAGGCAAAGAGGGCAGCTGACAAAACACACTTTCAAAGGCAAACAACACACTTTCAAGGCAGTTTTTGCGTTTCTTATGCCTAACAACTGATACTAAAATGAGATTGTGCGTACGTTTGACTAGATCTAGACGTTAGATTGAATTTAGGCGCCGATTTAGTGTCCATGTGCCAACTGCCCAAGGCTGTTGACAATGTAAACAAAGGAGCATTGCAGACCGGAAGTAACCCTGAGTACCCCTGGACAGTATGGCGGACATTACCGTGAAGAGGTCTATTCCGACATGGATACGTTCAAGATCTACTTTCGCTTTTATAACGCAGGATTCTCCGATGGTGTCCTGATTACTGTAACAATTATGACATGGGATTTTAAGAGTAATCTATTCGTTGTTCTGCCGTTGCTTTATAAGCAAGCTTCATCTGAGTTCTGGTTAGTCGGGCCCATCATCAAGACGTGTCAGTGGAACTTTGAAACACTCATTCGCATCACGTGACATGACCTCGCATGTGAGTAGCCCGTGTGTCGGGGACCGTTGGCTGTCGGGGTCAACAAAGGTTATTCACACCGGTCGCGTTGGTCGAGGTGTTTTTCGGGACTTAAACAGTGTGGACGACTGGGGTGAGTGGGTGGGGGTATTTTTTTGACACTTGGGCTGTGCGTGCCCTGATACATGTAGAATCTACTAATTGAGGATAAAGGAATAAGAAAAAAGAAAATAAATGAACAACCTTGGCGCGATCTTTTT